AGACAATGAATATATCCACGTTCTCTCATATGCATATTCCCAGCAAATGAAAGGTAGCAAAACCCAGTGCCATCTCTTCATTAAATTCAGGAGCAGGACTCATCTTTAATTGAATTCTTATCTAAAGACTCAGAGCTTTAAGGTAACATGGGAACTTTAATTTTGAAGTTTATTATCAATGTTAATTAAGACAAAATCGTAATTATCGAGTTCTTGCCAGCCTCCTTATATATCATATCACCTCTCACATCCAAATATGTTTGTTGTTGATTAATAAGGGGGAACATTTTTTTAAAATGAGAAGCACATACTAGAGCTAAAGGTATAATTTATCCTTTCTCATGGGATTGGTGATTTAGTTCTCAGGCTGATGATGACTGACCTGAGAGCAGAAGCCATGATAATGGTAAACAGCTGTGATTTCGGGATTCTAAAGGCGCTAGCATTCAGGGAGAAAGTTGAACTCTGAGAGGGAATAAATAAATGAGTTTACATGACTCTACACTGCTGAGAAAATATATACTTCTCAAACAACAGCTGACACCAGTAAGATCTTAAGTAGCAATATTTCAGTGAAACTGTCCAGGGTTGGTGTAATGGGAAAATACAGTGCCAAGCAGAAAGCAAGTGTGCACAAGCGCCCAAAGAGGTAGCAAACTATACATCAAAATAAGCCTGCAGCCCAGAAATCCTGATTTATTAAAACTGCTCACACACTGAAAGGCTGAGCTATTCCGAGTTTTTCAGCGTGTCAGTTCATTGCTAAGTGCCACCTGGCATGAGGTCTTTGAATCTTGGGAATTTTGTTCCCAGAGAAAATGTATAAATGTTTTCCTGACAGTATACATTCACAGTGCTAATAGCAACAGCATCTGATTAAGCTGTATCTTCGAAGGTCTATCAATCTGTGGAGTTTAATTATCTCCCTACTTGTTAGGACCCCACATTCTTCCTCTGTTCATCTTACAATCTCTGAGGCAATGGAGCTTTACCTAATAATTCTTGCCTAGTTCTGCAATGGTTGTCATAGCTCTCCTTTTAGCTACTGAGACACCAAGGGTATCTGTTATAAATGCTGATTTGTGAGTTCTAAGAAATTATAGAAGGAACCAGAGGTCCTAAAGCTGACTTATTGTAACTCCTATTATTCAGCTGTGTTATAGGATTACCAAGCTGCATAGCCTTTATTTGCAGGTATCAGTGTCCCTGCTCTCACCTTCCCTTCATTACCTGCATCTGTCCTTTTCTCAGAAAGCCCCTTTCCAAGACTCTAGGGCGCACTGTCCAATTTAGCTTTCTGTGACAGTGAAAACATTCTACATCAGCACTGTCCCAAAAGGGAACCCCCAGCTAGACATGACTACTGAGAACTTGAAATGTGGGTGGTGTGGCTGGCTGAGGAATGAACTTTTACAAAAAGTTTTATTGAAGTGTAATTGGAACACAATAAATACTCTTAATGAATTGACTATTTGTCTTTATGAAAAGACCATCTTTATATCTGATAATATTCTTTGTTCTGAAATCTTCTTTGTCTGATATCAATGTAGCCTCCCTAGGGTGAGTATTAGAATAGTATCTTTTACCATTCTTTTACTTTTAATCAATTTGTGTCTTTATATTTAAATATTTTTTCTTTTAGTTAGCATATAGTTAGGTCTTGTTTTTGATACATTCTGATAATCTTGCTATTTTATTTGGAATGTTCAGACCATTGTTATTTAATGTAATCATTGATTTGGTTAGTTGTGCATTTATGATTTTGCTATCTGTTTTCTATTTGTCTTATCATTTCCTTTTTTCTTTATCTTTTTGGATTAATTGTATATTTTTCATTATTTAATTTTCTCTCCTTTGTTGTCTTATAAGTGGTAAATCTCTGTTTTGTTTTGTTTTTTCAATTATTGTTTTATGGTCTATAGTACACCTGTTACTTGCCACATTCTAGCCTCAGCTGAGATTATGTGACTTATCGCTAACAGTAAAAGAGACTTCCAATGTATGCTTACTTTTCTCCACTCCTATTCTTTGTGGTATTGTTACCACACATTTTTATTTTATTTATATTATAAATCCTGCACTGCTTTGTCATTGTTTTTATTCAGAAAGTCAATTATCTTTAAAGATATTTAAATAATAAGAAAAAGCACATATTTATCCCTGTAGTTACCGTTTCCAGTGCTCTTCATTCCTTGTGATTTATATTTCCATTTGTTATCATTTTCTTTCTGCCTGAAGAACTTACTTTAACATTTCTTTTCTTTACACTTTTAATAGTGTGGGTGTGCATCTAAGGGTTTTCAAACTTTTGTAAGTTTGAAAAAGAGTTTATTTTGCCTTCATTTTTTTAAAAGAATTCTCGCTGGGTATAGAATCTATGTTGGCCAATTTTTTTTTCTTTCAGTACTTTAAAGATATTGCTTCACTCTCTTCCCACTAGAATTGTCCCAAGTCTTAAAAAGCATTGTTTCTTACACTTTGTCCATTTTTTGTTTGTTTCAGGTGGGGCAATAAATCCATTTCCCTTTTATTCCATTTTGGCAGAAAACATGTCTGGGTCTAAAATTTTAATTTGATTTAATTTTAATTATTTTAAGTTTAAATAGCCACATGTGGCTAGTGGTTCTCATATTGAACAGGACAGTCTAGGGAATGAAGGAAGGTGAACTGCCTGAAGTTGAACAAGCCTACGATTTGGTTTCATGGGATGTACTGAGAGTTGGTACATTGGACAGCTCCCCGTGACTCGCTTCCTTGGCCAGTGAGTTTGAGACCAGAGAGTATTCCTGTGACCATGCCTGGAATGACTGCCTGATGCTGAGATGAAGCCAATTACTCCTTCTTCATGGCTGTCTGCTAGACCGAGAGCATTAATTTGAAGAAATCTGGCTTTTTTTCTCACTTCAGCAATCTGGTTTGTAAACTCTCTGTAGGCTGTGTCTAGTTATTCTGTTATGACCCTGGGTCAAATGCACTCCATGGGAGCACTTCAAAGGAGTGCCAACTAACTGACAGGACAATATTATGTTGCTGTGATTTCATGCTTATGAAATGAAAGCTCATCTTTTTCTACATTTTGAGTTAAAAATTGACAGTAGTAAATGAGACACTGAGCATTTTTTCCATTCACAAAGACTATTAGCCCCAGACAACTTAAAACTTTAAAAGAAAAGCAGCTTTTGTTTTGTTTTTAAAATCAGTTAGTCTCTAGTCACGGATGCAAGAAGCACTTACTTCTTAATTCATTTTTATTAAGATAAACTTTATTTGAAGATTTATAGTGTTGTGTCTCAGACTATCGTCTAGTATTAAAAGGATATTATGTGCTTTTATGTGGTGATTTCTCTGTGCCATAAGTCTGGTAATAGATTTGTATTACAGTTGATTTTACTGGTAGGAATATTTCTATTTTTTGGTGCCTCTACCAAAAAAGTAGATGTGCTTGAGACTGATTCATTAATTTAAAAACTACTTTATCTATTATGTTCCAGGCATTGGAGATAAAATAATAAACAAAACAGACAAAAATTCCTCACTTCATAGAGATTATATTCTAATCGGAGGGAATTGTCAATAAACATAAATAAATAAAATATGTAGAATGTGAAACGTTAATAAGTGCTGTGAAGTAGAATAAAGCTGGAGGGGGAGCAGGGAGTTCCAGGATGGCTGCAATTTCTAAGAGTGTGTTCTAGAAAGGCCCACAGAGAAGGTGATATTTGAACAGAGGACTGAAGGAGGTGAAGGAGTGAGCCATTCAGATATTTGGGGATGAGCATTTGAGGTAGAAGAAAGAGGAAGTGCAAATGTTCTCAGGCAGGGATGTGTACAGCCTGTACATATGCAAGCAACACAAGGCAGCATTTCAGACATCAGGATACACCTTGGATTTTCCAAATATATAACTGAGTCTGCTAACCTGATCATTCATCCTCTTACTATTATCATATATATATATA